ATGTCACCTGTTATGTTATTTTTGGTGGTATTTGACTCAAATTTTCGCTGTACTCGGTCAATTCGACTATGACGAGTCTAAATAACGCTAGTGCGCAACTATAGAGGACTTCGAAAACTACTGCACAGCCCCAGAATGTGCCAGAATTTTTTTGCTGGCTAAATTTAGTCTAAAATTGGCGCTAGGGCAGCCCTTGGCGGTTCTTTTGTTTCCTGGTCGCTATTTTCCTTCATTTGACCTCGTGACATTGGTGTGACCTCGTTACCACGATTTGACCTTGCGACTTCGATGTGTCCTCTATGAGCGACTAGAGTACATGAATGTCCCCTGTTATGTTATTTCTGGTCTGATTTGACTCCGGTTTTTGCTGTACCCGGTCAATTCGACCACGGTGAGCCTAAATAACACTAGTGCGCATCTATAGATGACTTGGAAAACTACTGCGCAGCCACAGAAGGTGCCAGAATTATTTTGCATGCTCAATTTGGTCCCAAATTGGCGACAGGGCTACCTTCCATTGTTCCCTTGGCAGTTCCTTTGTTCCCTGGCCCTATTGTTCTTCATTTGAACTCGTGACCTTGGTGTGACCTCGTGGTCTCGATTTGACCCTACCACAATGTGACCTCCATGCGCGCCTAGGGTATTTGAATGTCCCCTGCCAGGTAATTTCTGGTCCGATTAGACTCCGGTTTTTGCTGTACCCGGTCAATTCGAACTGGCGAGTCTAAATAACGCTAGTGCGCATCTACAGATGACTTGGAAAACTACTGCGCAGTCCCAGAAGATGCTAGAATTATTTTGCCAGCTCAATTTGGTGTCAAATTGGCGCAAGGGCTGCCTTCCATTGTTCCCTTGGCGGTTCCTTTGTTCCCTGGCTCATATTGTTCTTCATTTGACCTCGTGACCTTGATGTGACCTTGTGCGCACCTAGGGTATTTGAATTTCCCTTGTTATGTTATTTCTGATCGGATTTGACTCCAATTTTTGCAGTACACGGTCAACTCGACCACGGCGAGTCTAAATAACGCTAGTGCGCAACTGTAGAGAACTTATAAAACTACTGCGCAGCCCCAGAAGGTGCCAGAATTATTTAGCCAGCTCAATTTGGTGTCAAATTGGCGCAAGGGCTGCCTTCCATTGTTCCCTTGGCGGTTCCTTTGTTACCTGGCCCCTATTGTTCTTCATTTGACCTCGTGACCTTGAAGTGACCACGATGTGACCTTGTGACCTCGATGTGACCTCTGAGCGCCTAGGGTATTTGAATGTCCCTTGCTAGGTAATTTCTGGTCCAATTTGACTCCGTTTTTTGCTGTATCCGGTCATTTCGACAATGGCGAGTCTAAATAACGCTAGTGCGCATCTATAGATGACTTGGAAAACTACTGCGCAGCCCCAGAAGGTGCCAGAATTATTTTACCTGCTCAATTTGGTCCTCAATGGGCGCCAGGACTACCTTCCATTGTTTTTTCAGCGGTTCATTTGTTCCCTGGCCCCTATTGTTCTTCATTTGACCTCGTGACCTCGATTTGACCTTGTGACCTCGATGTGACGTCTGTGCGCGATTATGGTGTTTGAATGTCCCTTGTTAGATCATTTGTTTAAGTTAGTTTTGAATCATATATCTTCATTTGATCTCGTGACCTTGATGTGACCTCGATGTCACCCTGTGATCTTTGTGCGCGCCTAGGGTATTTAAATGTCCCCTGTTATGTTATTCCTGGTGGGATTTGACTCCGATTGTCGCTGTACCCGGTCAATTCGACCACGGCAAGTCTAAATAACGCTAGTGCGCATCTATAAATGACTTATAAAACTACTGCACAGCCCCAGAATGTGCCAGAATTTTTTTGATGGCTCAATTTGCTCTCAAATTGATGCCTGGGATGCCATCTATTGTTTCCTTGGCGGTTCCTTTGTTCCCTGGCCCCTAGTGTTCTTCATTTGACCTCGTGACTTTGATTTGACCTCGTGACCTCGATTTGACCTGGTGACCTCAATGTGACGTCTGTGCGCGATTATGGTGTTTGAATGTCCCTTGTTAGATCATTTGTTTAAGTTAGTTTTGAATCATATATCTTATTTCATTCAACATCACACTGATTCAAGAGATAAATACACTGAAGATGATTTGGTGAATATGATTAGTTTTCTCATTAGCATATTTATACTATATGGTGGGCAAGTCTTCCAACAAGCTTTGGATATAAGTCTTCTCAATACTTTTGTAATTATTACTAGAATTCGTTAGACCAGTAAAGTTTGGCTGAATCTCAGTGTTGTTATAAAAAAATTTGTATATTTAGAGTATGTAATAAGAATAGAGTATTAAAATTAATGATGACATTGAACATTTGTATCTCATATTTTAAAGAATGCACACGATTCAACACACAACACTTATAAAGAGCCAATAATAAAGTCAATTAGTAGGGGAGGGTCATTTTTTTTTCATGCACCATTCAAGGGAGAGCGCAGCAAATTTCATGCAAATGTTTGTGAAGGGTCATATATTTTTATGTACGCGACACTGGCCTATCCCTCTGTACTTTCTGTCCAGTCCCTTAGTAGATAAAATGCGAAAAGAATTTGGGGCCCACCATTGCCATAGCAACAGCCAAAAACCTGAGTTGTTAATACCATCGCGCCAAATTAAAAGGATTAAACACCTCAGACATACATTTGTAGCTCATACTACTCAGCTTGAGTGTGGGCACAAAAATACTTTCGGTACAATGTATTTGAATTTTTGATATCTTGTTACATTATCGAGAAATTTGACCCCCAAATTGGGGTAACTGTTCACCAGGAAGGGTATTGTTACTTTTCTGTGAGTTTTGTTGCTGGGCTGCTTTGGTTCAAACTTGGCAAGCCAATCACACCTTCACTCTAGTTAGGTGGTAAAATCCTTAAAAAAAGACTGATTTTTAAATACTTTCGCCTTAAATGTATTACCTTCTATCAGTAATAGCAGTTTCACATAGACGAGAGATCATGATCACTGGTGCCCACATTGTTACAATGCACAATGTAATCCCAACGCAACTTTGAACTTTAAATGAACTGTAAATGCTGCGTTCAATCAAAGAATCTAGAAAAAAAATCGCAAAAGTTCTGAAGACTGGATGCTGTTTGAGAACTTCGTATGAGTGACCCTGTGTTAGTGATACACCGACGCTAGCTTCACGTCCTACCATTGTAACAGCTGAAAACATGGTCCTTTGAGCTTAGTGGATCGCCAACCAGCCGACCGGCTCGTAGTTAATATGTCTTGGTTTCTGCTGTTCCGAAGATAGAACTATGTATGACAATAATATTTCACTCACTAAACATTATTTCACTAAAATGAAGGATTAAATAGCTACTTGAAAAAGAAACATTTCTGTGTATAAACACTGAAAGGGTGTAAAAATCTGATTGAGCGCTATTTCAGCCAAAATCAGCTAGTAAGGCAATATAGGGATTATTTATGGCTATAGTGATGTATTCTGTTGTTGCAAAAAATATTTGGTTCACCCAAATGCCAGCATCATACAGAATTCAAACAATTAATGCGAGCTTTATCAGAGAAATGTGTGTAAAAACGACAAGTTTTAAACCACCTAAATCAAATCTACTGAAAATTGAATCAGACCACAAAACAACAAGATTGCATTTCACATTTTATCTTTTATATGTTTAGCAATGGAACTCGAAATGGACAGCCCTCAGGGAGTTTTCTGAATAAATATGGTACCAAGCCAAAGTAAAAAAACATGTAAAAAGGGTGTTATTAGACGCATATACACATGTATAGTAATAAGTGTGAAAAAAGGAATCTCATGAATTTATGTTACCTCAACTTGGAAACAGAATGATTTTAGTATGTAATAGTATATTTTAAGTTTCTGCACTTGAAAAGGGGTATAATTTCACCCCAAAAAAATGTGCTTAAAGGCTATTTTGAAAAGCTATACTTCAGCACGAGTACCAGGTCTGACTTGAAGTACCCCCCCCCCCCAGGGAACTACCTTGTACAGAATCGAAGTTGTAGACTGTCCAAGCACAATCGTAGATTACGATTCCAACATGTCCGAGACAGATTTTAGGCAGCTAAATATTAAACTTTCTGTGGACAGGAACTGAAGTTTTCAGAAACTTGCATTAATATTATTAATCAGGAATCAGCACAGACATGAATGAAAACAAAATGGCTTCCAGTTGGCCATTTTAGTTTGAATCTCAAAAACAAATTTACGTGCACCCAATTGTAACCCAATATGCATGATCATGACAAAGTTTGAATAAAATTGATCTGTCTATCTGTCAGACATTTCCGGACACATTTAAATACTTGAAATGGCCACTAGTCGACCATATTTGATCAAATTGTCATAAAAATTTACATGCATATGCAAGTCATCATTGATAATTTTGTAAGTTTTTATTTTTTAAACACTTTTTTTTTTTCCATAAAAACTTTAAATATGAATGACTTGCATGTATATGAATCATTACATAACAGTTTTTGAATGATTTACTGTGATCAATTTTTTATGTTTTTATGCAGGACGCAAACTTTTTTTAATATCAACCCCTGCATCTACCATATAATAGGACACAATATTCTATTTTTAGCAGTTCATAAATTTATTAATAAGAATGCTACATTACGTTTTCAGCAGTTCGTACATACATGTTTTCAAAATCACACGAATAATATAAATCTGATAGATATTTGCTTACATGAACTAAAAAAAAAATTAATAAATGACAACACAATTTCAGAAACAAAAGTTATATCTTAATAAACATTTTTATTTAATAATCCTAGGTTAAATCAGGTGATTTTATCTAACCAATCACAGTACAGCTACCTGGTAATCACATGATTTCACCCACCAATCATAGAACTGCTTGATCATGTGATGAGCAATATTTAAATGTAATTATATGTGATACTTAATTGAATTGTTTATAAATACTGTAAAGAACACTACACGGCAAAGTCACAAACAAACAAGTTACTTTCGTTCATCTATAGTTTTAATGAATTCAACAGCCGCAGAAAATTGCATCCACCAATACTGCTCTTCCCCATTGAGTCTTTTCTCGTAAAAGCTATTGACGTATTGAATTGTAGATAGTAGACCTGGCGGATTAGCCTTGATAAGTACAAATACCAATACAGGAACAAAGTCATCAGCGCCAGGTACGGAATTATCATTGGCCATACTAAGCAGATTCATGATAGTTGAACAGCAGCGGATTACACACTGTAGTTTATCTTTTGGTGTCTGAAAGGAAAAGTACATGAATTGTTAATTGTTAAAAAAACGCCCCAATATAATTTCCAATGGTGGTGCCCTGATCAGTATGAAATTAACATGATCATACATTGTAAGAGTCTAGCTAAACATTTGTTCAAACATTAAGGCAGAGATGTGAATAGCTATATACATACACTTCAGTGTAAATCCGGAAAACATCAATTAAAAATTTAAATCTGTGGTCTCAAAAACCCCTGGTTTCATGTAAGATATGTTGTAATCACATACAAAAATAACAAGCCGGTAGGCTTGTTGGTGATCCACTCCGCTCAAAAACAAGCAACATGTTTTTGGCTGTTTCCCTGGTGTGACATAAACGTGAAGCTAATGTCTGTTTATAACTAAATGGGCCCCGTATACAAAACTCACAAAAACAATTCAGTCTTTAGAAGTCACTTAGTTTATTACTAGGACGTATTCTGCTCTTACATTTATTATTTTCAACCGTTTTGAGATAGTATTTTTTAGAATGAAGGCAGCATTTACAGTTCATTCAAAGTTCAAAGTTGCGTTGGGATTACGTTGATACAGTGTAACAATGTCGGCACCGGTGATCTCCTACCAGTGTGCAACATAGCCAAAATAAAAAAGCATGGTCATTTGAACACTGCTATTACAAAACTGGTAGGAGGTAATACATTTGGGGTGAAAGTATTCAAAAATCAGTTTTTGGATATTGCAATGGCAGTGTTGGGCCAGGATTTTTTTTCCAATTAGTGACGGTACGACTTACCTGTGAAGTATGAACAAAATCAGCCGAGCCAAAAAAATTACAGAGGAGATAAAAGCTGTTGCTGGTGAAAAGTTACCCCAACTTTAGGGTCAAATTTCTCAGTAATGAAAAAAGATATCAAAAATTCAAATAGTAACTTTGTGCCCACACTCAAGCTGAGTAGAATGAGCTAAAGTGTTTTATCCTAAATTTGTAGAAGATACATTTGGCACGAAGCTATCCAAAAATCAGTTTTTTGGCTTTTGCTATGGCAACAGTGGTCCCAAAAACAAATCTCAGATTTTTCCTAATAACTAGGGTGAAGGTGTGACCTACCTGTCAAGTTTGGGAAAAATCAGCCAAGCCAAAAAAATCACAGAAGAAATCATATCATAGAAATCGTGAAAACACTGGAAATCACACACACACACACACACACGAAGCGACAAAAGTGCTTATAAGGGCAATCCTAGCGGAGCGGATCGCAATACTATCTGTACATGTAGGTGTGTGGGAAGGTACTATACTGGAATTATGTGAGAAGTATGTCTGTATCACATTAGCACACATATGCATGTTAGTATCATATAATCACATAGAAATGTTTGTATCACATGAGCACATAGAAGTCTGTTTGTATCATGTGATCACATTAAAGTGTGTTAGCATCATGTGAGCACATAGAAGTATGTTAGTATCATGTGAGAACATAGAAGTATGTTAGTATCAAGTGAGCACATAAAGTATGTTAGTATCAAGTGAGCACATAGAAGTATGTTAGTATCAAGTGAGCACATAGAAGTATGTTAGTATCATGTGAGAACATAGAAGTATGTTAGTATCAAGTGAGCACATAGAAGTATGTTAGTATCAAGTGAGCACATAGAAGTGTTTTAGAATCAAGTGAGCTCATAGAAGTATGTTAGTATTATGTGAGCACATAGAAGTGTGTTAGTGACAAGTATTAATATCAGGGCTCATATCACTAAAGATCAAAATTATAGTGTTTTAATTTCTTGAAACCAAATGTATGTAATAAAATTCTGGCCAAAAAAACACATGTTGGAGCCAGTTCAAACTCCTACAAAATAGATGTAAACAAAACGAATAAATTTGTCAGGCTTTTTACCTTCAATATTCTCAGAAAAGCAGCCAGAGAGAGAGAGAGAGTTGTGCAGATCAACAGATCACTGGTACTTGCCAATAAACAAAGCTACACATACAAGTCTAACAGCTGGCGTATGCCCACACACACATCCAATTTCAGATAAAACTCTGTGACAATAGTCACCATATGATTTCAACACTGGTAGGCTAATTGGTGGTATGAGACCCATCATTTGAGCATATAGAACAAAAGTTTTCAATATACATGAGGCAAAGTACTCACTTTATATACATTAATGGTAAGTAATTCTGCTTGTGCTGATGGCCAGGGGGCTTCTTTCCTATACTTCTCAGCCACCTGTAGTGCCCTGTGGCTGGCTGTCACAACCCTGGATAATCTTTTGATGTGTTCATGAAGCACTCTAAAAAATAACAAAATTATTGTATTAGTACTTTAGTTTTATATGATTAATTCAGGATGGACTCAGGGTTTCAGTGGTATATCTTTTTTTTTATACATGTACATAATATATATCATAATGTGTATGTCTGTATAGTTTCTTAATTTGAATGTTTAATACACAGAGGGATACTTCCAGCACAATACATTTACAAGAATAGCTGCTATTGTATACAGGTATACAAACCAGTTACAAGTTATGTTTCTTGTTACAACGACGGTACAAATAATCTGACTTGATATACTGTATTTGCTCTATTAGTAGTGCATGTATTTTATGTAAATAAGGTGTATATATAGTCAAAATAAATTCATATTAAAATGATCCAGCATACGATCAATGCATTTTTTCATTTATCTGTGCTACTATTGGTGATACATGTATGCAAATACAGTATTTGTGGAAGCCTGGTACATTTCGCATACTGTTGTTGCACGAGTGATATCTTTTTATTTTCCTAATTTAAATCACAAAGGCCTGACATTTGAAGGATATTTTAGCACATTTTCCCAACCAACTCAGATTGCTCTTCCTTTTCGCTTTAAAGTTTCAAGATACTATGTATTGACAGTTTTACATTAACTCCATATGCCAGATACGCCATTCCAATAGGTACTGCGAAATACTTTATTTTAGCCAGAATTAATTTTCGCTGAAAAGGCATTTTGGGTGTTTTGTATGGAATTTATTTTCACTGATTTTTGACGAGCTGAATGTGAAATATAGGGAAAAAAGTATATTCGCTGGATTTCATTTTCATGGAATCATCCTTTCAGCGAAAATAGCAAAAATAAATTCCAAACGAAAATAAAGTATTCTACAGTACTCAACTACGTTAGTGCCCGACCCCCACTTCTGCTCAATTTTTATATTTGGGGTCACATTCGGCAAAGTGCCCACCCCTTCAAAATGCAACTAATATAAAACTTGGTCTTGCGTAACGAATCTTGGTAATCATTTTTTTTATGATACAGCATGGATATCGATCGCTGTGAATATGTTGTGAATGAAAAGACCACGGTAACCGTGCGTAAACTATGATTCGACAATGACCTGTTATTACAAGTAAAATGCGGTAAATATTTCATGCCATATTCAGTTTACCTCTCAAAAATGGCTAGTTACTAGTTTTTTGAAAAAAACCATGGCGTTTATTCGCTGAAATCAAATCCAACAGTTCGTACTTGGTCATCGATAATTCACTTCCACATTGCATTACCGAAAAATCTTTGGAAACTTACGAAGAATTGCGTTGGTACAACACAGCATTCTGATTGGTTAATAACCAACTTGACCCAATAGGTCAAAGGACGCTGCTGCAGGTCGAATCTGCAAATGCATCATGGCGGAAAGTGATTTTCATCGAGTGTTTGCGTGCGATCCAACACCTTCGTCAGTGGAGATAATAATGAAAATTTTGACTTAGACTGTGTTCCAACAGACTCTAATGTTTTTAATTTTGTAAATTCTGGTGGTACATAATTAATATTGTAATAAAACGTGCATATTTTTTGTGATCATTTCTGTTTCTTCATTGTGAAAATCAATGACCACGCAAATAATTTCGTAATTTGATTTTCCCTCAAAGATGTAATCTGTCACATGATGAATAAAAATTTTCATTTGCACTCTTTTTCGAGGGGGGTGGTCGGGTAAGTACCCACCCCTAAAAAATTCTGATTTTCTGAGTTGAGGCCCCTGGACGCTAACGCAGTCAAGTACGGTACTTACTGGTCCCGCATGATATCACCATCACCATTCGGATACAACGCTTGTTTGTATATTCTACTCATTATGGCTCGTTCTGTCGCAACCTGAGCATCTAGTATCTGGTCTTCGGTAGCGGCTGAAAAACAAGATGGTGAATCAGGTTTATTTACAGCACATTGTGTTTTGATGACATGAAGTAAAAACTAGGAGGCTATCATGAGAATACAATGAGGTTATCGAGGATACTACAAAGTATGAACGAAGACAGTACAAGCGGGAGGATCGACCAACATGCAGCAGAGGTAATCATGCGTACTGTCTTATTATTATATACATCTTTTCCTCCCAGGAATACATCATGGGAATGCGTAATTGTTCCAAATTTGGAATTAGCATTTCTTAATATGGTAAGATGAAAATACCAAGGGCAATACCGCAAAATTATGGCACGCTGTAACTTGTTGTGTTATGGTAACAGATGTATAATAAATTACACGCCTTAACAACCAAAGTAAGACTTTTCAAATTACTTTTATTACCAGTCCTACTTTATGGATGCGAGACATGACAAATCTATGAAAGTAACAAGAGCGAGGCTGGACACATTTCAATTCCAATGTTTGAAGATGATACTCAAAAACAGATGACCATATGTTGTATTTAAAAGTGATGTGGATATATATACATGTATATTGCAAGATAACTTTAAATCCACCCTTAAACAATTTTGAGTTTGAATGTAAAATTGATGACTAACATGATCTGTGTTTGTTTACTCACCTTGCCATATAGGATCTTGGGATATCCAATTATAGAGATGTTGCAGGAATTCCTCAACGTGATCAGTCTGTAAATTTAAAGTAGGAATTATTGTTTTTATTTATTCATTTCAGGGATAATCAACAAGACTAAATTTCATTTATAGACTTTAAATGACATTCCTGTCATTCTGTGATGATTCACTACTCATTGTGACGTGGATGCTTTTATTTTTTTACATGCAAAGGCACAGCATCCTAGACCGGCAGTTTTTCACTCTCATGTCTTTTTTTTACCTGCTGAATGGGTAGCCAAGCACAGAATGAACCAGCAATCTCTCTGATGGTGAGTGGGCACACTAATCATTCAAAGTATTATGTTCACTTCAATATTCTAAAATGTTCAATATTCTAAAAAATATAGTGCATCCACATCATCCAAATCATATGGTTTCACAGAGTAAATGTAAACACCCAAACAAATTGTGCATGAATTTACATAGAGATTGTGTATTTAACCATACATGGCAAAAAAAACAAATCTGTCCAATCTTAGTTAGTGCAGCATATGGCAAGAGACATAAAACACAATGGAAGGTTGTCAAATAGAGCACACTTTAATACACACTTGAAAACATGGCATGCTAATGTATACTGTATAGTTGGAATTCATTTTCACTCTAAAGTTTATTTGGGTGTTTTGTATTTTGTTTATTTTCACTGATTGATGACAAGTTGAATGTGAAACGTATGAAAAAAGGCATATTCAATTGATTTTATTTTCACTGAATCATCCCTTCAGCAAAATTAAATTATGAGCAAAAATGAGGTATTTTACAGTAGTCAATTGCTTACTAAGATGCTCTTGACTAGCAAAGCTGGACACCATGGGAGGAAGGGAGGGGGCTCTCGCTATACACCCTGCTATACCAGATTACCAACAAGATTATAATTTATAAAGTTGATTTTTATTTAACACATTTTCATGCAGAGTAACACTGCACATAACGAGACTTATATGTAGACACAATATAATATAATCTGAGTTTTTATGTTCTAGCAACTGACATTTTTATAGAGCAGAGTTAGAAGCATAACCAACAAGTCATTGTTAATGACACAGTCCCCGTCCAAAATGTTGTGATCTGACATATCAATTTGATACTGATGAAGTCATTGAGATTAGATTGATTAAAGGGGAACTAAATAGAGCCTATTTTGGTGTTTGTATTTATCAAGTTATGTATATTGATTATAAATTTGAAAAAAAAATCAAAATCAAAGAAAACTTAGAAAGAACTCCCGTGTGCTGAGAGTATTGGAGACACATTAAAAAATAATTCAAAATTACTTGAACTTGAGATATTGATGGAAATGCAGAAAACTAATTATGCAAATAAGGTAACTAATATGAACACATTTAAGTGTAAAACTAATAAGGTCTGCGCAATGTAAAAGTAATAAGATCTGCGTAATGTAATATCTATGTACCAAGTTTCATTGAAATGTGATTAGAACCAAAAAATTATTAATTATTGTGCTAATTAAGAGAATTAATCAGGCTGTCTATTGTCCTAGAGCATTTATGTACCAAGTTTTATTCAAATGTGATGATCAATACTTGAGATATCAGTATTAATTAATTAATTAATTATGTTAATTATGTTAATTAGGTGATTAGCATAAATATTTACCAAAACTAATATGGTGTATAGTCCTACACATGTAGGTTCATTGAAATGTGATGAGTACTCTTTAAAAGTTTCATTAAAATTCAATGAGTGGTTCTTAGGACAAATTAACTAATTAAGCAAATTAGTAGTTAATATGCACAATAATTTATCCTAAAATTAATCAGGTCTCTGCATAGTCCTAGAAGATCTATGTCGCAAGTCTCATTGAAATGTGATGATTAGTACTTGAGATATCAGGTGAAGGGCTGAAAATTAACTAATTATGCTAATAAGGTGATTAATATGCACAAATATTTCTCCAAAAACTAATTAGGTCTCTGCACTGCACAGTCCTCAAGTAACTATGTACCATGTTTCATTGAAATGTGTTCATTACTACTTGAAATATCAATAGCTGAAAATGAATTAATTATGCAAATTAGGTAATTAATATGTACTGATATTACCCTAAAAACTATCAAGTCTGCGCAGTCTCATATGACATCTATGTACCAAGTTTTATTGAAATGTTATGATTAGTACTTGAGATATCAGTGGAAAAGCCGAAAATTGATTAATCATTATGCAAATTAGGTAATTAATGTAAACAGATTTTTACCCAAAACTAATGAAATCTGCGCATTAGATCAGAGCATCCATGTGCCAAGTTTCATCAAAATCCAATGAGTGGTTCTTCAAATATCAGTGGAACAGTCATGAAACAGCTTAAAATCAGTTAATTATCCAGCAAATTAGTATTTAATATTCATAGATTTTTACCCAAAACAAATCAAATCTGCGCATTAGTTCAGAGCATCCATGTGCCAAGTTTCATCAAAATCCAATGAGTGGTTCTTCATATATCAGTGGAACAGTCATGGAACATCTAAAAATCAGCTAATTATCATGCAAATTAGGTAATTAATATTCATAGATTTTTACCAAAACCTAATCAACTCTGCGCATTATCCCAGAGCATCTATGTACCAAGTTTCACCAAAACTTAATTAGTGATTCTTTAGATAACGGTGGAACAAAAAAAGTGACATACATACACATACATACATACATACATACATACATACATACATACATACATACATACATACATACATACAGACAGGGTAACTGCAAAGACTCCATTTTGTGCTTCGCACACGGGAGTCAAAAATGATTATCTTCAGAGTTATGATAATTTAAATATGAGAAACCATACCCCTGCGAAGGACTTCCGTTTGCACTATCTTGCCATAAAAAACACCCTCATGAAATATAAACAGGTAAGGTAACAAAGCATGATGACGAAATAGTATCTGATTAAATATAAGCAACTTAGGGAGCCATAGTTGGCTGGACTGGTGAATTGACTTCTAGTCTAGGTTGTTTCGACTTTTACATTAATGTTATTTACAAGCGTATCAACATACAAACATTATGGATGTGCGATTGATCAAGACAAGCATTTTGTTTTGTTTTTTGTCTATTAAACTGTCTAATAAATGCTGTTTCCAGTACTGCACTGTGTGGCGTGCAAATTATTCAAAAGATGGATGCTGGAGTATGCAATCTTGAGTTCATAGGTGGTGGTGGAAACATTTTCGTCCATGCATTCACAGGGCTGCACTGGCAAATCATGGGACAATTGTCACAGGAACACCAACAGACTTCCGTGTAATTTGAAATAAAACTATCATTCGAACAAGGGGCGTCGACGATATACTCTCATCACTCACACTGGACTGATCTGAATCTTCATAGTATACCGTACTTCCCTGATCATAAGCCCGGAGGCATGAACACGTAAGGGAAAAGTAAGGGATGAGCTTATACTCGAGGACCAACTCAGAAAAGATGATTTTGTTTTGGAGTTAAACACTGTAACCATCTTTCTAACAACAAAATAATATCCAAAAAAATTATTCGTTCACCACGCCGGGCTCGAGAAAATAATACTTATTTTTTTTAAAAATGTGTCATTGATTTCCACGGCACTTACAATGAAGAAACAAACATGTTCATAAAAAACACACACATTTTATTACAATTCGATTTACCGGTACATACCGTCTGACTTTACGGTGAAATAATGGGTAGGGTCTGTGAGTAAACAGTGGACGAAGGCATTTATCATTATCTTTGTTTTGGTATGTTTTCGATCGTACGCAAATTCTCAACGCAAAGCAATTTTCCACCATGAGATTTTTCAGCATGATTTGACCTGGACCAACTTTCTTTAACCTAACAGGTCATGTCTTTTATTTACCAATCAAAATGATGTGTCGTAATGATGACATTTTCCAATTATTGATAATGATTTTTTAACGCAATGCGGAAGTGAATTACCGCAATGTTAAAATGCGATCTGTAGCACTGATTGCAACGAAAAAACGATGATTTTTCCCTAAAAACTGGCAATTCGCAATTTCCAAAATATAAACGACGGTTAATAGTAACCGTGGGTAAACTGAGTGTGGAGAAAGAATTTAAACACCTTTCACGGTCGCCAACATGTCACATCATTCAAACCCTAGGCCTTTCATGATAGTCTCAAAGTAAACCATGCCCAATAACCAGGTACATGACTTAACAATCACATTTTTGACTTTTCAAAAGCTACTACTCAAAGAAATATGGATTACTCCAGTATTGCAACATCAGGGCTCATCCTGAGTAAATGACAGAATAGAAAGGATGCGAAAAATGTTGTGTACGTTCGCCATGCTATCTGAAATTAATGCGAGTTTTCTCATAAAAGCTAAAAGCACGAACCAAACTACCATGCCAATCACGATTATTATGAAATGAAACACACCTTTTACACGCATATTTTAAAGAATATCGTCAACGCCCAGTAAAAACACTGGGCTTATAATCGTGAATGCTCTCAACTCGATAAATACCGAGTAAAAATATAGGGATGGGCTTCATACTCGGGAGGGGCTTACGATCGGGGAAGTACGGTACTTTAACGCAATTGGGCTTCCACTCTCAGAATACTGTGGTTCAAACGCATAAGGCTCTAACCCAAGTTTTAAAAAGCACATTGTGCATATAAAAGTTGAGTTTATACTAATAGTACACAATGCTTGGCAGCATGAACGGCTATGTACAATGGCGTATACGAATGCGATCAGACACTAAAATGTCATAGCTTTATTCCCCTCCATGAATGGCCTCCATGGTGTTTAATTGCAAGCACTTCAAATGCCTATTCAAGCTACAGTTATAATTAAAACAAAATTAAACCACTGCAATATTATTTCGAATACAGTTTAGAATATACACAACTATAAATTTAGGTTCGCTTTAATACGAGATGGATTTGTAAAAAAATTATGATTTAGTGCTTTTACACAAGAATTAGACATTGGGCAGTCATATTGAATCAAATTACAAAAATAATGTTCATGTTGATGTATCTATTGGTATACTGTCTTTGTACAAAATTTAAAGAGAAACGTTCATTGCATTCAAGAGAAAGTAGCATGGGTATCATGAAAAACAAAATGGCCACCAGTCGGTCATATTTCTTGAATCACGAAAAAAAAATATGACGTGCACCTATAACCCAATATGTATGATCACCATACCAAGTTTGATCCAAATCAGCCTAGTCATCTCTGAGAAACAGCTCCGTACATGTAAGAATGATGATTTAGAACTTTTACATGAAATTTGGGCGTCAGTCAGCCATATTGAATTGAATCACAAAAATAATGATGGTGTAGTTGTATCTCTTGGTATACTATCTTTGTACAGAAACGTTCATGGCATTCAAGAGAAAGTAGCATGGGTATCATGAAAAACAAAATGGCCGCCAGTCAGCCATATTTGTTCGAATCACAAAAAAAAAAACATGCACCTACAACCCAATATGTATGATCATCATACCAACTTTGATCGAAATCGGCCACGTCATCTCCGAGAAACTGCTGCGGACACGTTTAAGTATCAGAAATAGCAAATTTTACATCCAAAATGGGCACCAGTCAGCCATTTTTTTTTTCGATCATAAAGTAACTTGACACGCATATGTAGTGACAACTATAGAGGGCGCGGCGTGGCAGAACAGACCAGTGAACTCTGGTGACCTTGCTTATTGTTATATAATATTATCCCCTTTGAATACAATCAAGTTTTGGGGTTGAAACAACAGTGGGGAAGCAGTCTACCGAATGTCCTTGATAGATGGAAATATCTTACAAAGATGCCTCATTTGTTTAATTATCTTAAGGAACATAATTTCCAGCTTTATTCAAAGTAATTTAGATATTTTAGTATAAAAACAAATGCCTCATCTCAGAAAAAAAGTGCTGCATTTAGACGTGAATAGATTTATAAAACATGCAAGATAACAGAAAAGCTGGCTTTTGTCCATGGCAAGTATTTTGTACAGGTGTCTGTCAAAAAATTAATGATTCACTGAGACAAATATGAACTGCCTTATTATATTTATTGTGTGACTACTGTATTATATGAAAAGTAAAAAAAAAACGTCCTCTATGAATAGCTATCATGTTACAAGCTCTGCTTTGTATGCAAATCAACTTAAATAGTTAGTCAGTGTCCAGTGGTGAGAGAAGTCAACAGTACTGTTGCCTCCTGAGAATCTACATCAAACACTGCAATCTTTGTTTTTGAAGTGCGTTTTTTCTAATAGCTGAAACAAATTCCTGTGAATTTTCATTAGTCAAATGATCTGTGTCAAATACAGAATACATATTTTTAAGTACATTTTTCTTTTCAAAATGTGAATGCAACGTTTTGCTTTTTATGTATTTTTTATGTATTATATTTGATTTGATAACTTTTGACTAAACAGATTTTCTATTAGCTTCAGATCTTGATCAAAGTTTGGCACCCAGTTCATAGCAGTGCTTATATTGATTTTCTGACATCTTGTTTTCTGTAAAGATTTTATTGGTAGGTTTGCAAATGTGTATCAGACTGTGCAATCTCTCCATGAGTTGGTTTTGAAACCCAGTATGGGATTCTGAGATACATTACCAAGGATATTATTACAGATAAATGATTTGCTTCATCGAACACATACAACAATGCATATTTCTACTGAGATCAGTGACCTTTGAAT